AAAACAGATCAACAACAGATGCCAAAAGCTAAACTCCGGTCGCTCTAAAATGAAATAAAAATTCAGATCAATTTATAATGAGTAAAAAAAATCTAATTATGTCTTACGAGGCAAATCATTGGGCGTTTACTGGAGTTATTAACCCGGGGATCTTAATAATTCGACGTGTTAATTAACGCCATTGAAACTTAAAAGCGGTTACACTAAAAACTTGAATTAACTTTAATTTAACCTTCAGTGCGTTCTAGTGTGAGCGGAGGCGGAGGAAAATTAAAGACAAGGAAAACAAACAAACTATAAAACACGCAGAGGAGACAGAGTAATATGAAGGTCTCTGAAATCAAACTGCCGTGAGTCAGCGCTGGTATGCTGGAAGAGATGAGGGACGCATTCCTCATATGTGATTCCAAGAGGGACGATGAGGACATAGAGGGAGATAGATACGGGCAATGAAAAATACATAAGGATCAGTGCCAATGCTTCTTTTTTCCCCCCCAGGGGTGTGATGGGGAATCTGATCGTGGTGACACAAGGAGCAAGAACTTAGATGGTGACAGATTAGCTTCTGTTGAGTTTCATCCGAGAAGTCAAAATAGTCACCATGGCAGTAATACACACACTTAGTGGACAAACACAACATGCATACACTTAAAACATTCTACTGTAGTCAGAGTTTAACACTTCAATCCAGAAAAGCTGAGTTCTCCTCCAGTACAAGCAGGTTAGTGCTCCAGTGCCTTGTCTTTTTTTTTTTTTGAGTGCCAAGTGAAACTTCTCCAACTATTCTGGGGATTTAAACTTCACAATGTAGCTTTACAATTTCTCCGAGAGCTCGTGTTTGCTTTATCAGAGACAGACAAAGAGAGGGAACGTGGCTGCGACAGACAACCAACCACAAGCTGCACTCCAACTTGCAAGGATGTGACCACAATACAAGCAAACAAAGCCCACAGAAGGAGCACAATGATGCTTGACATTCTTTGACAAACATGTCGTGCCAAGGGCGAATATAGTGCATTAGTATGAATTACATCAACTGACACAAAGCGTGTAACAGTGCAACACATTAGCCTTATTTATGGGGAGACGGGGTGTGCATTATGACGAGGGTCTGCCTTTTATTATGTGGCCTTCAGATTTTCAGCCTTAAAACTTCCATCTGATTCTGATCATAAACTCTGTTGACTTCTACTGTTGTTGGGGCCAGTTTCAATTTGTATCAGCCTGAAGGGGGACTGAGGATAAGAGAGACAAGAAAACAAAGGGAAGGTGATTGAAAAGCAGAAATCTAGGGGATGCCTCCTCGTCCGGCTGCATCAGAAATACAAATGTAAAGACTTGCCTTTAATTAGCCAATCATTGGAAAGCTACGCTAGCAGCCTGATTAAAATGTAGAGACAAAGAATATTCTGCTTTCAAATAATGAGGTAAAACGCGGCGTAACACAATCGCACAGAACAGACTCTTAAAAACACATATACACCGGAGGAGAAATACAGGCAATCGGGGCAGAAAGACAAACGAGGAGGGATAGTTAATCCTAAGGGTAAATATTTAACAAGCTCAGCAATTACAGTGAGGGCAGAGACCTAACATGGAAGAGAAGGGAATTACAGCCTGCTGACTGTCAACACACACACACACACACAGACACACACACACACACACACACACACACACGGACCTGCCTGATTGGGCATCTGCCGAAAAAATTTTATAGTGACCTAAAATAAAATTTCAATGAAAAAACATTGGACAAAGAGTTCCACACAGCCTGCAGGCTACAAACTGATGACTTTTGTTTCTGTCTTCTTGTTATTTTTTTTTTTAAAGGAGAGGTTTGCCCCTCTGGACTTGCAGCCCATTTTCACTGGCTCGGCAAACTTTATTAGAGCCGCGGTTTATAGAAACGTGACTATATGCATGTCAACATGTCCTGGCAGCAGAAATACGATAAGAAACAATTAAGACTAAGCAGCGAATGATGTGTTCACAGTTACGATTTCAGTCTCCAGTTGTGTGCTGAGGGACATCTGAAAAGCCTTCCATACATTTTATATAGTCTATGATAAAAGAGAAATGTTTGCTCAGTGGGGTTTTCCATGCGTCTGTGTGAAAACTTGGAGTTTCTTCTCGACCTACCCTGTGAGGGGAAAAACTAAAGATTTAATAGAAAAGTAATTGAGAGCACGATAATTAAAAAGATTATTTCTCTGCTTGGGAAGCATGTAAAGCAGCACATGGAGTCATCCCAGGTCATACGTGCCCGTAAACGCATCCCATGGAATATGATGATCAAGGGAAATTCGGTGAAGCGAACCTCTGTGTGATGTTGCTTTTTATTTACACACACCGTAGACACACGCACACACACACACACACACACACACACACACACACACACACAGCCTAAGGGTTTATTTGCATAAAGTGCATAGGTACACACTGCTCAGCGAGCTCCACCCTTGTGCAGTCACGCAACAGAGACAACTGGCAGAATCTCAGGGAGCTTCCAAAACCACCTGCTTCAGGATTTTCTGCCTCTCTAAACCTTTGAACTCTCTATGCACATAAGATATGAAATAGTTTTATGTAAAGCAAATGAATGCATGTTTCATAAATATTAAAAATAAATAAATAAAAATTAAAGATAGAGTCTAAACTGCAGTCGATTCTCACATCCAGTCAGTTGCAACTAACTGAAATGGACAACAGTCATGACTCAGGAGCGACTTCTCACAGTCCCCCCGGTGGACAAAAAGGTTCACTGCATCTGGAAAATCTTCACAATTCCTCTACGGAACAGTTTTATAAAGGCAAACGAAACTCAAAGCTGCAGGTTTCATAACATGTTTTCTCTCAATGACTCACTGTTGAAAAAAAAAAAAAAAAAAAGCAGACGATTATGACTGTTGTTCTAAACCACAGGAAGGATGTGGATGCGTACTTGTTGCTCATCTTAGCTTTATCTGAAAACACTCTGGCCACCTTCCATGTTTAAATTTCAGGGGAAAAAGGCGGCCATTGTGAGAAACAAGTGGATTTGCTAAAAGAGGGGGAGGGCAGAGATTCCAGATGTATATAGAACCAAATCCCTCATGTTCCACTCTAATTAATCTCATTAGTGCAGCATCAAAAGACGGCTAAGCTGGTCACTACTGCCACTGATAACAAGGCATCCAGCAGAGGCGGAGCAAACAAACACAAGCTCTGGAGTGAATGCACATTCAAGCGTTACAGAATAGATGATCTGAAAATATTCCAGATAAATATCACCTTTACTGTTGTTGTTTTTCTTTTAACTTTTAGCCAGAAAGCCTCTGGTAGCTGTTAGCACTGCCAGGCAACACACAGGCTCACTTTCAACAGCTTCTACACAACTTTCAACACTTCTAGCAGCTTCCCACACAAAATTGAATCTTGTCCATTTTCCAATCATTCCCTCCGCAGCCCTCGCTCGGCACCGACAGCCCTCAGCATCCCTCTTCATCGAAGCAGCGGTGGCCGTCTTTATCTCTGCGTGAGCCCTTATCCAGGAACGGCACCTTTAATAAGTCCGATTAGCACCTGTACTCCAGCTTCGCGTGATGGCTAAGCTAAGTGAGCATTCGAGGTGAAATAACTCAGTGTGTGTGAGTAAAAGTTGCATGACTGCGGCCAACAGGATGCCAGTTGTTGGGTGCCATGCCAAACCCAGGCAGCGGATGATGGAGATTAAGGGTACTGTAAGGATCAGGAGAGGAGAAGGTGAAAGAGGAGAGCCACATGTGCTGAGGAGGACATGGCAACTTTCAGCTCGTCAGACCCTAACAAATCCCTCTGCCAACTTCTCCAAGAAAACAGCTTTACATGAGAATTTTCTTTCTGCCCGCAGGACTAGGACAGCAGTGAACCTCACAGGACCTCTGCCTCTCCACTGCTCTCCCTCTCCCCTTTATCTCCCTTTATCGCACGAGTTTTTCCTCGCGAAGCAGAGGGAGGAATTCTTTCATTTTCTTAATAAGAAAAGCACCTCTTGTTTCTGGAGCTGTCACATCCAGCTGTGCCAGTAGCCTCCGCGTTGATAAGGCAGCTGCCAAGGCCACCGGCAACAGAATACGTTCTGAGGCAGCACATGAATATTTGAAGCGGATTGTGGAGCAACGCAGGGAGACGGAGGGAGGCGGTCGGCGGACAGCGGAGGGGTGGGAAAACAAGAGTAGGCCTCAGTGTAATTGCATGTGACTAAAAGACACAAAGGGATAATGGGGATTTGGAGGGGACGAACAGACAAAAACACAAACAGTTCCTCCGATCTGCAAACTATCTTCACATCACAAATCACCCTCATCGACTAAATAAAACTTGTTTCCTTAGAAAAATACTACGTGAGCTGATAATGCAGAAGGTTTTCAGGCAGAATCTTTTACCTCAGTTAAAGCCACACAGCTGAAGGGGTTCTTAGAGAAAGTTCACCAGTTATTACAAAACTCTTTAAAAGAGTGATCCAGAATAATTTTGTACAAAAAACAAACCCTCAGCTACTTAATTGCCTCTGACCATGACATGGCCTGAGCGTGGCAGTCACAGAGAAAAAGCATTTAACCGACACACTCTGGTAGTGGGCGAGTTTTTTCAGCTTCTGATCAATATTTGTGAACGATATTGAATATCTTTAAAGTGACCGAAACATTATGTCGTTTTCCAGCCTACTGAAACCACAACACTGTTTACCACTTAGAAAACTAGTACTACTACAGTTAGTGCCACTGTTAACATGTGTTTGCATGCTTGTGTGGAATCTTATCAAAATGTTTCTCTAGAATCAGTATTAAAGTAAATATGTAATCATTTATCAGAGTTGGCCAACAATGTGTCAAACATATTTATCAGTCTGACTCATATTAATTCAGCAGCTTCCTACTAACTTAAAGCCTCACTCACACACACACACATGCATAAATAAATAAAAACACCCAAGTAAAAATGTGATAAAAATGTGATTTTCTGACCTCCTTTACCTTGGAAGAAACTCTTGACGCGGAGGTAGGAAACTGCAAGGCGCAGCACTGACAGCTTGTCCAGCTTAGAGATCACATCCGGCGGGAACGGCAGCAGACTGGCCAGCCGGTCCAGTTCAGCGTTCAGCCTGTCCCGGTGCCGCTTGGACGGGTTGGTTTTCTCATTGGAAGACGACGGCTTCCTGATGGTGACACGAGGACAGAGATAGATGGGGCTCAGAGGCGATCCGGGAGCATGTGTGTGTGTGTAAAACAATCACAAGTCATATGTTAAAATAAAAGCTGTTTCAGAAATAGCCCCAAAGTTGATCGTGCAACTTTTCACATACTGGATTACACTGAGCAGCAGAGCAACAAGTAGTAAAACAGCAGCAGCAGCAGCAGCAGCAGGATCAACGTGTTTAACTTCACTTACTGGAGTTCTGCTAAAGTAAGCGGCAAAGTTAGTTTAAATCTGACTCACAATACACAACACAGGGCTTTTTATTAAGCTATCGGCTGAATAACGTTATTAATTATCAGTGATATACATATTTTAAATTGTAAACTGTGTAAGTAAGATGAAGTATTTAACGTACCACAAAAATGTCCAAACACTCATGTCAGCTCAGTTTCAGGTTAAAAGTAAAGCACCGCCTGACTCTGTTTGTTATTATTCTGATTATTACAAGACTGTTTGAAGAAAGTACCGCTCTGAATTATTTTCTTTTCAGAAAAAGGGTTCTACACAGATACCTGCCAGTTAGTTTTTCCTCATTATAATGACACAAAACTGCAGGATCGTGATTTGTCTGGTTTATGGCAAAGCAGCACAACATGCAAACACAAGCAGACACACACAACCAAATAAACAACACTGTGCACAAGTCCCGTCTTTCTTTAAACTCAGCCTTCCCAAATACACCGTGCACCTCACTGAGTCGCAGACAAGTCTCTTAAAAAAAACTTTTTTTTCTTCTCACAACAGGACAAAACAAATGATTAGAGCCTTCTGTCATATCAGATGTCAGTCCCTATAAAATATCTCTGCAGCTGACATCAATCCTGCAGTTTTACATAAATGTAAAATCAGCTGCGGCTGTGTCATTCTTCTTGGTGACTCCCGATATTAGAGGTATCGGACAGACGGCACGATCCTTCCCACCGCCGCAGAACATTAAACACTCTTTAGGCACACAGTTATTTGTGTGTTTTAGTATGGTGTACCACAGCTCTACCAGCTGAACCTAACATGAGCCACATATGTTATGACCAGCTCAAATTTCCACAGCTGAGAGTTTCTGTTTATGTCCAGCACGACAGAATACTTTTGTGTGAATAGTTGTACTTTGTTTAATGACCCGACGAGCAATTATATCTTGCACCACTGGAAAAATGTGCAAAGAAATATATGTAAGGTTTGATTCGAGCATTCAGTTAAAGTTTGCTCCACTTGCATGATAAACAAAAAAAATGACATTGTCATTCTAATATTTAAAAAAAAAGGAGCATTCACTTGTAATTAAAAGCCCTGCAAAGTTTTAGTGGCACAACCAGCAGGCGCAAAACTATATTAGGATCCTCACACAGTATCGGTTTGATGTGGCAAAGACTTTCAGATCAGCAGCTAAGGCAGGGCAAAACATGAAAACTTTATAAATGCCACAGGCCTTGTTAAATTACCACTTCCCTCTTCAAAATCTTATATAACCTGCTAGTCAATATTCATGACATCAGCTGACAAGATTGTCCAAAAATAATGCGTCCTCTCATGTAAATCCAGGGACACTTAAACCAGCAGCAAACAACAAATGCAAACTGTGACTCCTACGGCTGCATGCAAACTTTCAAGAAAAAAAAAAGATACTCTGCGGGCTAAAACTTGCAACAGCTGACATTTTGGGAGCGAGAATAAGGCAAATAAATTTCATTTACAATTCATTTTGGCTATCTTGATGCATTTGTTTAACTTATTTATTGCTGTAAGAGTCTTATAATTAAATAACTTAACAATACATTTCATATTATTTATAATAAGCAACCAAAAATGCATCTCTCCACTGCTACATTTCTATTAAAAACTACCAGGCAGTACCATGTGGAGCTTATCAAGTTATTTTCAACTCTTTATGCTCAGTATAAATCATAAAGCTAAGAGAGAGAAAAGTTTCTGTTGCACACAACCAGGCTAGGTAGAGGAAGAAGAAAAAAAAAAAGCAAAGTGAGCAACCTCAGCAGGCACTGATTTAACAAATGCACAGTATTAAAGAGCGCTCCTTAACTGTTTTTGGATGGGCTTCCTCCTCTTTCTGCCCGCATACATGCAGTCTCCCGGAGGGATCATGATATTGCGCTCCGTGGAGGTAACAGGTGCGCTGCGGATGAGAAAGAGCAACTTTAACTTTTTGGTGAAGCTGCACAGAGAAAACTTAGTAAGAGGGAAAAGAAATGTGAAAAAAAGACATGTTCAGACTCGTTGTTGCACATTATGTCACTAAAAGTCATTCCTTTGGGATCCAGTAGCTTCTGCAGTAATTCCAAGCATCCCTGAAAATTAAGTAAATTAACTACTTCGAAACAATCCAATTAAGATGCTGGTAATTTAGAGTAAATGTGTGAATCTGCAAAATAGCCAATTAAGATTTATTATAGGCGTTATTGCTTATTAATAATTATCATAAGTGAAAATAATAATAAATAAATACCAGCCTGTGCAAGTTGAATGCAAAATAAAAAAGTGCAGAAAGCATGCCGGATCCTTGAAAATGCACCATGAATTAATAATCACATTAAAAAATTCAACACACATCAAATAAAAAAAATGTCACAGATTACAGCACTAACCTTAAATATCTGTTGGCCTCAGTTAATTCCAGTATAATGTTTGCTGTTGAGTCACATTCACTTTAAGCGCTCGAGAAAAAAAAGAGAGAGAGATGCGTCTCCCAGGGTGCACCGACTGCGATAAATCCAAGATAAATGAAAATAAAGCGCAAAAGAGGTCCTGCGTTGAGCTCCGAGCTGATGTTTTCATCAGCTCCGCACTGCTCGGGGCAGATGTTGGCTGATGCTTTATACCCAATTGAGTCGCCTTCACTTCCTCGCGTTTCAGGTGGCGGATTCCTCTGAATGATATGTCGAGCCCTTCGCACGCAACTCTCTGCCTCACAAACACGGCGACAGCGCACACACAAACACACGCGAGGCTTATGCTGCGTTCAGGTGCCGTCCGTACACGGGGGGATTTGCGTTTGTGTTCACCGCCTACATTGCGTCCGTGTTTTATTTTGATTTAATTCTCATTGTGAGAAAATAGCTATTTATTTTTACCTACCACCGAGGCTGGCATTCGTTTAAACAGATTCCGCCAACGTTAAATAGCTGCGTGTCAGTTAGCATTGTTAGCTTCACTTTGTAGCCTGAAGTAGCTACAGCTTGTGTTGGACGTCAGACAAAATGCTAGCGAGAAAACAAGCTAAATCATGAGTCCTACCTGCGTGGCAAGACGTGTGTGTTTCTTATATATATGTAAAATAATTAGAAATCTTATGATTCGTGTGTACATTTACGAGCAGCACTTGAAAGTAGCAGTAGCCCAACCCGACCCGAGCCTTCAGCTGGAGCCGCGAGGGGAGGGATCACACACGGAGAGCAGCGGCAGCGCACAGCCGCTCACTCTCACCGAGGCTACCGGCGGTCGACGGCACTCACGGACCGAGAGTTATTTTTTATTTTATTTTTTCCTTTACGGGGACGCTTAAATTCTACATCGAAGAATGCCGCACTCGAGTACAATGCCGGGTCGGACTGGACGGGGCGTGTGAAAACTAATTCTGCGGATTCCAGATGGTTCTCTGGGACAGGGGTTGTAGCAGCTGTTGTCAAGTTCCCACACACACAAACGGGTTTGCACAGGAAGTACGAGACCGCGCCTTCAAAACAAAAGCACTGACGTGTCACGGAGTTGATATTTAAAGTCACCTGCAGAGTCTCTGGGATAAATTATCACACCACTGCGAGTGTGAAGGGACTAATCAAGGTGGTAGCTGGCATGTCTTTTGAAGCAGATTTCAATTTCGATTGTTTGAAACGCGTCTGTAAGGGTGAATTTGAAATGTATAACCGGAAGAAGGCATGTTAAAGTGAACCATTGACAGAACTGTGCTCGTATTGTGTTAAATATTCGACATAGGATTTAATTGGTTAATTAAGCCGCGCCATATAAATAGGCGTTAATAGTCCTGAAAGTCACTGCATCTTATTTTTTTTATTTTTTTTTAAGTTAGATTAGTTCAACTTTATTGTCTTTGTACAGAGTACACGGACCTAGACAATGCAATGTAGTTTAGCATCTAAGCAGAAGGACAAAACAAGAAGTAAAAGTGCAGTGCAATGTAAGTTATATTAGTGGAGCAGCTTTAATGTTTGTATGAATGTGCTTAGATATATACAGCATTAACAGCATGAACAGTGCATGTAAGATATATCCAAGATGTGTGAGTTATATCAGTAGTATTTGCAGAATGGCCATAAGCACTCAGTATGAACAGATGCTATAAGAACAGTAAGTGTATGAGTAGAACAAGCTGTGGGCAATATAGGTGTGCTAGATAAATAACAAAAATAAAGGTAGATCAGTGTAAATACAGAGATAGGATTAAATGTGTTGTGTAGAAACAGATTCCCGTTCATATATTCAGCATTGCCATTTTTTAAATATTTTCATCGCAAACCTCAACTGATTGAGCGATCTTACGTCAGTGGACTTTCTGAAGCTACAAATGCCTACAAAAATCAGTTCTGGTCTGGTATCAGAAAACAGCTTTTTGTCATGTCACTGCGGGAGGAATCGTTCTCCTCATTCTTGTTGGTGTATTAAAAATCTGTTTGACTCTAAACTAATAAAAGTGTTCTGTTGAAGTCTCTTGTCTTGTCACTGAAGCCCATAACAGGCACCAGAAAATACACGGTAGTCTACTCTACTGCACCCTGGTGTACTAATTCACGCACTACAAACACAAGCACACACTCGGCGATTGTGTATTGATGTGTAGTAAATCATGCAAGCCCGGCTATGCTCCAGTACACTTCTCCTCTTTAAACATAGGTGACACACTACAGGAGATTTCCCTCGGTGGTGATGTGTCACACACCCTATTAAGTACAGAAATAAGGAAATATGACTGCAGGCGATGTGTCTCTCTTCTATAGCAGACTGACATTAAACTATGCATGAGTACAGAATACGTCAAATTAACAGCTATACATCACCAATATCATTTATAAAAGATACTAAGACAGTGTCAAGCCCCATGGACAACTTGTGATGTGGCTCAATCTAAGGTTTATGTGAACCAATAGGATTATTTCTGAAAAGCTCTGAGTGATGTTTGTCTAACTAAAGCTTTAATCTGCAAGCTAATAAAACGTTCTGACAGCCGACAGCAGCCAGTGGGCATGTTGGCAGCGCGATGAAAGCAGAGTAAATCACTGTTTAATCACCACTGGTCCCTCGATAATGTCACGTTTAATGCATGCAGTGTATGGAACAGCACACACAACAATGGCAAGGAAACCTGATAGGTTTGTCATTAAATCAGCATTATTTCCCCCACTCTTCTGGATGTTTTGGAATGTAGCTCTCAGCAGTCAGACCTCGCCATTGATGGAGCAGATGGCAATCGGGCTGCTGTATCAGAGTGTCCATCAGGGGAGATGCTTTATTTGTTGTGACAGGTGGAGTTGGGGATCTGAAGAGGTCCTAAGGTCCTGTTAACACTGTCAGTGGCTGCCATTAAAGCTACAGGGAGCTTTGGTATCGATGCAAATCCACTGGCAACACTATCCAAGCTGCCTTCCAGATTAGCCCGGGCTTAAAGCTCTGCTAACGCTGCTGGGGCAGACCTTCGCACGCAACTGTGCATGCGTGCGTGAGTGCATGTTTCTGCATGTGTGTGTGCGTGTGTGTGTGTGTGTGCATACAGTAAGTATGTGGCTAAATACACATTTCAGAATAATGACCATGGAGCCAAATAGGACTTACTGAAAGCCATCTGCCAGGTGCAATAGTGTGGCTTTCATTGATTAAGATGTCCCTCTTAGCATCACAGTGGGATTTCAGGAGACGTGCAGCGTCGTGACATGACAAGTCTGATTCTAATGGACATTCATAATTGATGGGAGGGTCAATATTGGAAAGTAACAAACATACACTCATTTCACTTCTGTCACTGTCACTTAGAGAGAGCTCATTTCCCATTAAGTGCTACATGATTGCTCAGTGAGAAGGAAACAATATTTGCCAGTGCAGGACACACAACACACAGTACAGCTGCCAGTCTTCACTTTGCACACAAATAAGTGGATGTAAGAGAACTACTAGAGAAAACATGCTGGAACTGAAGTTGTTCGCCTACATTTTATCCAATACTAACAAAAGTGGTGCCCATGGAGGACTCTGAACTCAGAAAGCATGAAGAGAGCTCTTAGTCTGGCAAGTGCTGCTGAAAAGCAGGAATGGTGTTGTCAGGATTTGTGGAGCCAGAGTATAAGCCATGACCGCAGAGAGTTGTTAATGCAAAAGACTCAGCTCAGGAGGTGCTGTTAGGTCAGAAAGGAGGCATGTTCTGACCATTAGGAGTACTCACGTACACACAAACAAAAGCGAGGCTTCCGCTCTTCATTTTCATGCACAAACCATCACACGTTGACCTTGAAGTGTTTAATACCACATTTGAACAGACTGATGTTTATTTGGGGACAATGAACGGATCTGCTTTGATCTCATAAGACCGCAGACCTCAAATCCAACGTAAGAGGCACAGATTGAAAAAGCCCGTGATGGCCAAAATAAATCAGACAAAAGACTATCATCCTTAAAAAATCATTTTATGACAGGACCGTGAAGATATTCTTGTGCAATACTGCCATTCCTGTTTACATTCTGAATAATGTGGAATGTAACGTGAATCAAAAAAACATGTTTCAGAAATAAGATTTTATGTCAGAAAAAAAATTGTTATGGTATATTTTTGCATCCCATTCTAGCACACATTAACATCACATATGGTACAGTTTTATATCAGCAGTAACATAACACACCAAAACACCTTCACACATTTCTGTCAGTGTCTATATCTTTGTCAGTTGGTTTGAGAGAGAAAACTACGCGTTGGGACTGATTTGAGTTTTTTAGAGGCTCACACGGAGCCCCCTCAGTGTCTCTGTAATCTGCTCCATCCCTCGGCTGTGGTTCTATCTGTGTGAAGTGCATAAAAAAAAGAAGTGGGGGGGGGGACGAAGAGGCCAACAGAGAGGGCCACGGTGTTGCGTAACACCCAGGATGCTGGGAAACCCTGCGAGCAAGTGAGTCACTTTTGCGAGGATGAATGTTGACAGTGGAACACAAATGTGAAACCAGGCAGCAACTGTTTGCTTTGCACAAACAATACAAAGGGCTATGATAGTTATACATGCTGGTTATTGGATGTGCTTCAGCTTTTCTTAACAACTGTTTAGGTCTTCAGTGAGGTGGAGGGAAAAGTGGGCAAGAGCGAGAGAATGAATCAGAAATGAATCAGCACAGAAAGCAAAGTGTAAAATATGAGATCACTGTGCTGAGTGAAAGCTCCAGAGGCCTTAAATCTGAAACCATTGCTCCCCACTACATCACAGAAGTATCACAGGACACACACACACACACACACACACACACACACACACGTTATAGTAAAGCCATTGCCTTAGGTGATGGGCATCTGAAAACCGCGCCGGCTTGTACAGCCAGAGGCCGATGGCCACAAAGTGAATTTCATGGAAACGGCAGAAAGCTTTTTGAGAAGACTCCCAAATGCTGGGAAAATCCTTTATATCTGTCCACTTAGGCAAAATGTGTCACCACTGGCAGCGTAAGTCACTCACTTTGCCCTTCAATCCCAAATACCTCCACACACACACACACACCTGATGGAGCACAGCACCATCGCAATTCATTAAGGTTTAGCACCTAATCGTAAAACCTTGTGTTTCTTCTTCAGGTGAAATAAATTGGGAGAAAGAGTGTCGGTGGATTCCAAGGCAAATCCTCCACAGGCGTCGCTTATTCCAGCACTTTTTAAAAACAGATGAACTGGCTTTAAAATTGGCAGATTTTTTACTTGACCCCAGGTAAACGATCTGGTCTGAGTCCCACGATTTTGCAGCACATTGGCATTTGTGAATTTTGTAAAAAGTCTCCCCACGTTTTGGATTCGTTCATCCTCTCCGCTGAGGACTACAGTGTGTACAGCTGCAGCACAAGCACAAGGAATGGAGATCGGAAAACTGCCACCGACGAGAAAATTGATCTCTAATGGGGATCTTAATTTAGGCTTCAAAGCAGACAGACGTTCAGTCAGCCTGTTTTACCACAGACAGGAGACCACTTTCAGCGTACGAGGCAGACATCTTGGCTGAGGATCTTACCAGTAAGAGGGGTAATTAAAAAATCCAGTTACTAATTAATTTTAAATTCTGTAGCTTCTCTACATTTTGTTAAAGAAACAATCGTCTTGATCCCGAGTCTCTATTTGCAGTTTTATGAACTGCGTGCACCCATGATCTATGTCTGTTGTTCCTCACAACAGCACGACTACTGTATTGACAGCTACAAACAATATTATTAAATGTTATTCAATCCAATCAAAACCGTATGTGAGTGAAAACAATTGGGAGGAAATTGAATGAGTCACTCCATTTGCTGCCCACATGCCACAGCGATGTTAATATATTCCAAATGTACTCCTCTCTCCTCCAGTTTCTTACAGCTCACATATGACTGTACATCTGAGCACTCAATCTGCCACAGCGCTGGAGAGGAAAGCGTTCCTCCGCTGAGCGATGCTTTTCATTAAACTCTACAGGAACCCTGTCGCCTGTCTGTCGGGCCAGTCTATATCCAGGTCATCAATAATGATTTCAACAACGTCAGTGTGTTGCTATTTGGTCATGTTTGGGGATGGTCTGTGTTGCTGAACTTCAGGCGGAGTGGTTTGAAGAGCTCATCGTTCTAAACCGACACATTTTTCAGCTCATCTGTCTCACATGGTGACAGTAGATTCAAAACACTCGATGCCGATACGTGGCCGTGCATCTTAGTTAGCTCGATTTGTTGAGTCCAGGTTCAAGTTGTGTTTCGCAGGCAGCATTGATTTCTTTAACTCTCAACTCAAAAACACGTTTAGCTTCTTGTCATTTCTCTTGTATATTTCACTGTGCATCAAGTTTGATACTAAAAAGCAGTTTTTTCACAGCTACCTTATTAAAAAAATTGTGATTTGGAAACCTGAAACCTCCAGTGCACAAGTAGTCAGGAGTTTGAATTCGAGAAGGAAGCCAAAAATATTTACTTATTCATAGATTCTGGATTTTTCAATTAGCGTAAGAGATGCTCTTCTAATACATAATGCATATTTAAAGACCGTCTTCGGTGAAAAACAAGTTGTTTTTTTTTTACTTTTTTAACACGTTCGTGTGTTTTTTTATATGCTGGAGGACAAATCAGGAGCAAAATCCTGTCACATTTCATGATGGGGCTTTCTGTATCACTCTTTAGAAATGGTTTCTGGTTTGAACATTAAAGGTTGAATTACTGCATTGTGTAGCTCGGAGTAGTTTTACGGTGTTTAAGCAGAGTTGTGGATGAGCTGGTGTGCTCAAGCTGCTATAAATGGGGAGGAATGAGCAGAGAGAGGGAGACAGATCTGCACATTACGGAGGAAGCAGCGGTGTAGAGTTACAGCTAAGCATTTTAAGGCAGGAAGAGATTATTTTCATGGAGAAAATTTCTAGATATCTAACTTTTAACACACAGAGTTGAGTTAACAATCCATGACAGATTTTTTGTAGAAAAGCTATTTAAAATACAAACTATTATTTAAAGCATTTTTCTTTTTCTTTGACGTCATGGAAGGAATCTCTGAACTTTTTAGTTTTTGAGCTCAGCTTAACAGGAACCTTAACAAATCAGCAAAATGACTCAGTATTGTCATTCTGCCACGATTGTAAAACTTGTCATGAAGAAGTGAGGCTGTAGCGGCAAAAACAAAAAGCTTGATGAGATTAACAGACTCCACTGCAGCTCTGAAGTCCCTCTCCGGTTATTGATTAAACCCCTAAAAAAAATAAAAAGGGAACAAAAAAAATCACATTACGCAAGTTTTTTTTCCCATAAAAACGATCCCTTCTTGCCTTAAAAAGACTTGGACGTAACACTGCAGCGTTGCTTCCTCTAGATTGTGCAGATCTATGAAGTCCCTGTCTCCCTCTTCACCCAGCCCTCCACTTCTTGCTGCAGCTCATGCACACCAGCTCACCTACAACTCTGCTCTAACACTACTTTGTGCTACGCAGTGGCCATACAAACACGTCAACAAACACATTCCACTGTGTGCAATAACTGTTACGACCTCATCCTTGTGTACATAGTCTTCTTTTTTTAAAAAAAACAACTTTTGTATATAATGTTTTTCTCTTGAAATTTTTGCACTGTGTGTTTATAAATTACTCTTGCGCTGACTTTACACTTTTTCTTTTTGGAGCTGTTGCAATGGTGAACGTTCTCCACTGTGGGATCTTTATCTTTATAAATCTTCAAACCTGAAGCCAGTTCTGAGGAATAATGATAAGAAAAGCTCCATCCTGCAAGTTGACACGATTGGCTCTTTAGGTTTGTTACGTCAGAATCTGTTTTTGAGACGGTCATCGGTACACTGCAGTTTCAAGGTGGAAATGCTAAGCCATGAGGGTGATTGTTTATTTCACTGACATGCCCTGTAGGTAATAACAAATACCATATTGGGCTGCCACTGTAGCTCACCTGGTTGATGTAGCTCACCATGTACAGGGGCTATAGTCCCAAATGCAGCGGCCATGGGTTTGAATCCTGCTCATTGCCCTTTGCTGCAACTCCTTCCCCCATTCTCCTCCCCACTTTCCTCTCTCTCTCTCGACTGACAAAGGCAAATAGGCCAAAAAATAAATTAAAAAAACACCATATCAACATGTTGACCAAGTAAAACACTTGATTGTCACACAAGTTAAGTTTGAAATGATTCCTACAGCTGAATAAGAAACCTCAAAGAGTTGAACACAGGATCACAGAGCAGCATCTGTGGAGCGCAACGTTACAGCCGAGTGTTACTGCGCCACCGATAATTTATTACATCAACAGGAGGTCGCTGCCATCTTGTGGAAAGAAGATGGTTTTGCATCATGGATTTTAATTTGTTTTCATGTAGAGTTTTTACACAAGCAAAGCTGGACCTGAAACCTGCTTTCCAGCCATTAAACCCGAGCACCTCTGAATACAGTTCTGTTATTTAATTTTGGACACACGTTTTATTTTGTTTTTGCAGTGATTCAGTTCATCAGGCTATTCATGTTTCCCAGACTCAGTGACTCAACAGGATGTGACATCAGTGTCATCTCATGTTTAACTGACCAATCCCGAACACCACCACAGCCCATCGTTGGATTGGATTTAAGACGTGGATTAAAATAAAGGACCTGATATTTAGGAATGATATAGCACTCCATCTGTCTCCATGCAGACCAACTGTTAAATGGTGGAGCCAGAGGCAGAAACATGGAACAGGCTCAGTGGAAAGTATTGCTCAATGCACCTCCTTTTTAACTAAATTTATACTCCTCATAAAAGGCTCCCAAAATGCTTCTGCCAACTTCTTCTCATCTCCAGTCCAATAAGATATTAAAAAACATTTTGTTATTACATCACCGTAATGTTTATTTATTCATGACAGCACAGTCTTTACTAAAATCATCTGTGTACATAGTGGTTTGTGAATTCAAGACATAAACACACTAGTAGAAGCAGTCCAAGAAACTGGATGACTAAAAAAAGTCTGGCTAACGTTCAGTTCCCTTTCTCCAGTTGGTCTCCTTGTCAGTGCACCTTCATAGTCATAGCATCGGCCCTAACGTCTCAATCACAGCCTTGCTCTCTAGTACCTGTTTTTATTCTATTTTATTGTTAGAACTTCTATTCTTCACTTAACTTTTACAATACATTTGCTGCATCGCTCACGTTCGGTGAGATAAAATAAAAAATCTCTCGCGGCTCAAACTCACTCCCTCTGCTGTGTGCATTGATCAGCACCAACATTAAAGCCACTGACAGGTGAAGTGAACGACATTGATCACTGCTGGGAAACCTTGAAGTTCACGTGGATCTGATTGTTGCAGATCAAGCACAACCCCCCGACGGCAACACCACTCCTTGAGAAACGGCTCAAGGAACTCGACAAACTTTCCAGATTACAATCAGCCTGAGTATCCATCGGATGCGCCAGATGAAGCATGATTCACACCTAAAACCCACAGGTCCCAAAAGCATCCACTGACTCCACAGGACACTCTCACAGGTCCCGTTTCTAGTAACAACGGGTTAAAACTCATTTTGGTGGTGCTTACACAATAAGTACGGCGAGTGGCTTTAATGTCGTGGCTGATGGATGCATCAGATGTTCTCATCTTTCAGCACTCCCGGCTCTCTAACATCTCTGCAGCATTAGCAGCAGATTTGGCGACTGCATTAAAGTGGCAAAAAAATATCCTTCGCCACACATCATGTACTTTGTTGAAAGCAGCAGGGCACTGATCTCAGCCGGCCCCGTCACATCATCCCTGCTGTAGGATCCATAAGAGGAATACTTGAAGGAAGTTGGGTCCAGGAGAGTCCTATAAAGGCAGTTTATCAGGGCCTGTTTAGTCGTTTGGTTGCAGCATCCTCTTGCTCTAAGACCTCTACTTCTCCGGGACACTGGCGTCCAGAAGACTCCGTGTTATTCGTGCCTTGGCAGGGGGATCGCCAGCAATTTATTCTTGCGTTAAGTACCTTTGGTGTACCTTCTTGTTGGCATCAGGACCGCTGGGTTACCTCTTGCTGGACGAGCGAACCTGGTGTCTCATCCAGCTTGTTGGAGCTGATGGTGAAAGACGAGAAGAAAAACACAGAGTGAGAGATGTCGTCTCTGTGTGAACTTCTTACAATTTCATCATCAGGTTTCCTTTCACAGATTTAACATTTGGCACTTACAGCGCGGTTGTCCTGGTTGCCTCGGGTTACTGGCGCTGCTACCAAAGGAGGACTGGAAGTTATGGATGGTCTCCTGGAGTATCTGCCTCTCTCGGCCCTGACGACAACAATCATTAAAGGTCAGGAACACTTTCGGGCAACATGTGGAAAATGTTCTTTCTATACTTTCATACATTGTGTCCTTCTGGTATGAATCCATTTGTTCCTTTTAGCAATTTCCAGCCATGTTTAAAGCAATTTTACATATGTCCACAGGCAGTTTATGTGACACAATGTTGGGTTGCACAGTGGAAAAACTAAAGTGGAAAGACTATAAATTAAGCAGATAGAACACTGAAACCCACGTCAAAGGCATAACCATATACAATATGTTGAACCACATCCACCTTTCCAGCGTTGAGCTCTGATATGGCGGCTAAGATCTGCTGTCTGGGTCCGTCTGTTTTAATGCCCAGCTCCTTCAAGTCTCCATCTGTGAGGGTCAGGAACGCCTCCATGTCTACCTAGAAGAGAAGAAGACAGAAGATTAAAACTACCTAATTTTAGAGGTGAAGAAAAAATGTTTTCTCTCCCTTTTTATTTAAAAGACAAGAATACCTCTTGTTCCTCGAATATAGGCTGGTATTTCTCAAGCGACAGTTTCTTCAAAATACTTGACAGCTCATCTGAAAAAGAACAAACAACACACAGTTTGAACTTGACACTCATATTTGCAAATACATTTAGTTTGTGTGAGTTCTTTCACAGTTCAACATGTGAACAGTGAACATGTACCAGACCAGAATGATGATTTGAGTTTATGCTACCGTAGATTCTGGACTATAAGCCGCTATTTTTTTCACATGCTTTGAAAACTGTGGCTTAAACAATGATCCTATTTTATGGATTTTTACGATTTTTACGAGACAAAAGCGACATTGAGAGCGACAATGAAAGAGAGACTGAGGAAGTGTGTGATGGAGTAAGTCTGAGGCTGTTCAACTCCGACGCTGAAGAAGACGACTTTAGTGGTTTTAGCGCGCAAGAGGAAGACGAAGATAGCGATCAATGACTTTTCCTAATAGGCTGCTGTAGTTTTTATTTCCTTAACCAGCCGTGTTACAGGAACTGTTCGGGAAAAAAAGTATTTACGTATTTGTGTATGTTACCGGTACGTATTTAATTAATTTACAACCTGCAGCCTGTAGACAAGTGCAGCCCGTATATGTACAAAACTTGTTTTCTTTTTAAAGTTAGTGGGTGCGGCTTATATTCAGGTGCCTCAATAGTCCAGAATTTACGGTAAATACGGTGTAGTGTCACCTTCATCAGTGATGGTTCCACTGCTGGAGCCGCCGCTGCTCTTGGATCGTGGATGAGAAGAGGCCGAGGACAGAGAGTCTCCCGGCCCGGGGGGAATCTTGGGCGTCGGGGAGGGAGAAGGGGTGAGCGTGGGTGATGTGCTCTTGGAGGTGGAGGAATTCCCAGACTGAGGTCTATTTTTCAACTTCTGCAGAGGAGGACAAATGAGGATGGACAGTTGCATGGGTGTGCTGACATGACGACAGGCACTTCTTTAAGTCTGGCTGCTTTGTACAGTTAAGCGAGTCATAACAAAACGGATGTTGAAGAAAACAGAAACGGTTACTGTCAGAGAAAAGCTGTGAAATCAAAGTAACTGCTCTGGAAGTGATCCCAAAGAGGAAACAGAATGCAGACCCTTCTGGAGTGGATGTCGGAGGCGACCAGGCTGGGGTGGGAGTGAATGTCGGGGAGGCTGATATCAGGCGGCTGCAGGCCATGTGTCGAACTTGGCAGCGGGGGTTGGCTCTGCGTCTGGCTGTGCTGTTTCTCTGGAGCCTGGGCTTTCACTTCTATCAGTCCTGCTGCTCTTTTACGTTGGGCAGCTATCTGGGAGAGAACGCTGTCTGCACTGCCCCCTGGTGTAAGGAACAGACGAGAGTGTGTTACGCTTTGAAGCTGCTGTGCCATGCATGCATCCTCTGTTTTCCAGTGTTGTTTTATTGTGTGTTTTTGTGAACCTGAGCGGTTATGAGAGTCCCTGTTGAGCCCTGCCACTCCATTAGAGCCTCCAGAGGAGTGGGGGGAGTGGTAGTGACCGGAGTTGGAGGGAGAGGACGAGGAGGGCCCCTTGGGGATACTGGGAAACTTAATGGACCTGCTAACCACACGACTGATGGAGGTCTGGAAAAGAAAGGAACAAGCAGATAGCAAAAGACATATAAATGAGGACAGACTTGTGTGTTGCTCAGAGGCAGGTTTTACCCACAAGCACTCACAATATCTGAGTTTCCACTGCTGTTGAGCTTCCTCTGTGGGGGCATGGGCAGGCGGGGCACTTCGCTCTTCCCCTCTCGGAGGAGGCGCGAACGGTCCGAGTTCCACGGCTCAAAGTTGGACGGAGGCAAGAAAGGAGGAATCACGGCTTTTAGTTTGTCATTTGGGAGACGTGTCAGGGGGGCACCGCTTCTTAGCTTTAGGAGAAAGAGAACACAGAATAAAAACAGCACTGAACATTGAAACAAAAAAACCCAAAGCAGAAAAACCTACACATTAACAACGTAATGGCATATTATATGGCAAAGCAGCATAAATTTACATATGAACCATGGAAAGAAATGTTTGATGCTGGAGTGCTGGCTAAGAAAGAAAGACATTTTTTAACATTCTGACTTTGTTTATGATAATTAATTTGAATTACAATACAGCCTTAAGAAAGTGTGAACTTTAAAACAGTATTTACTTTGAACCAAACTCTCCTACCATTGTGGTTATCAGGAAGTCCTCCTTTTCTGAGGATGTTCTGCAGTGACCTGGTGAAAGGAGAAAATTTACACATGGCCTCGTCCACATGCTGTATCATGACTTACTGCTGAAGTATGACAGCTACATTCACACCAAACATCCGCTGACATAATGCTATTCCTGTGGCTCACCAGCATCTTTGGTCTTGACTGCCCAGGCGGTGCTCATGTCGCTCCCTCCCAGAGCAGGAGTTGGTGCCACTGCACCATTAGACACAGCAGCCGGCTTCCTGCTCGCCTTCATCGTGGCATCCAGCGAAGTTTCGGCATCGTCGGGGAACGGGGCGAGGCGATTGGATGAGAGTCCGTGCCTGAGCGTATGAGTCAACTTCAGCCGCCGAAAGCGATTTGACATCCGACTCCACCAGGACTGGAAAAGGGTTCAAAAGAGTCACATAATGACGTGAACATTTTTTTTTGTATCATCCAGTTGGTATATCATACAGTGGATAAAATGGAATTGCTGTAATTTACACTTTAACTGCAGCAAAATAACTGATAACTAGACAAATATTCTCAATGGGAGGAACATGAAGGCCTTGAGCTGCAGCGTGCAGGTGTGGGTCTGTATGTGTGTGCTGCATAAATCAATCAACAGGTGGTGTTGGGACTGTGTATGAGTTAGTGATGGTGGTTGGGAGGTTTACCCATAACATGAAGCTAAACGACTGCATTGCCTCTTTACCTTCAGGCCTCCCTTGTCGTCAGGTGGCACAGGAACGTTGTTGAGAGACTGTCGGCTTTTGGAGCGAGTCATTAAAGCTCTGCCGCGGTGCTTCGACTTGTCTTTGTCCACTTGCATACACACCGACGCTAACAGACGGACCAGCTCCGTATCTGACAGAGTAGACACGAGGAAAACACGAGAAAATTAACAAACATCATGGAAAGTTGGAAAAACTATCAGGTTTCAACAGTACAAACCTTCCTTACAATATCACCTCAGCTCTGTAGCCAGTTATGTCAACAGACGTCTCTCAAAACACATTAAACACAATAAAAAATACATGAAAACAATAGAATTTCACAATAAAAGCTACATATATAATAACTTGTGATGGCTGAATGTTTAGTGAAGTGTGACAGTTTATTAGGTATGTAATGACCATTTTTATTACTGAATAACATACTGATTAATTTCTTCATTAATGAATAACTTCCTGTCAGAAAACAGTCACAAGTTGGCACAATCAAATAGCTGTGTTTTTCCAACGAACAGTTCAAACAGCAAAGATAATCACTATTTGCAAAATGCTAGACAATGAGATAAGCTTTGGTAAAAGCAAATCAGAGGTTAGTTTTTAAGGTTTTTTTATTTATTTTGCTGAATCACATTTTAAATTTTTAATGAACACACTGATATGAATCAAACCTGGTTATTCTGATGGGATATCTGCAATTTCTGTTATATTTTACTTTTCCTAATCCATCCATCCATTATTTATACACCACTTAATCCTCACTAGGGTCATGCGGGGCTGGAGTCTATCCCAGCTGACTCAGGGTGAAGGCAGGTTCACCTGGACAGGTCACCAGTCTATCACAGGGCTACACTTAGAGACAGACAAC